AAGAAGAAGAAGAAGAAGGTTTTTTGGAATTTACTTCCAATATAGCATGCAGATATTATGACGTGCCCTGGAACGGCTATTTATGTGCAAGTGTAGTATCCACGAAAACGGCATCGGATAGAATGTGATGACAGACAGCTGCAAATATTGTTAGAATGCAATTCATTCTTCCACACATCTTTCTTTAACTGCTTGCCTTTGTTTCGTCTTGGGATCTTTCAAATCTCATCAACAGTCCCGCACATTACATTCATACATGTACGTTCCAAGCCTAACTAAATTATACTCAAACTCAAACCAAAAAACAAAAATAAAAAGAATGATGATTATAAATTATCGTATGCCTTTTTCATTTTTTTAAGTTCCATAACTGGGTGTTCGGAAAACGGTGCATGATATTTTTATAAGTAATATTTTTTAATTTAAAATATATTAAAATAATACATTTTAAAAAAATTAACATCAGTATATCAAAATTACTAAAAATTATTTAAAAACATTAATTTAATATTTTTCAAGTGAAAAATAACTAAACTAGTTAAACCACATTATGGAACAGAGCCTAAATATGCATGTATGATTGTGTATTTACCATTTAAAATTATTAATAAGTTATTAAATTTTTTATATTCTTAATATTAAATAAAAAAACTAAAAAATATTATTTTTAATATACGAGTTTATAAACTTATATGTAAAATATATTCTTGATGACATTAGAATGACTAGGTTTTAACTTAATAAAATAAGAATTTTTTTATTAAAAATAACTTTTCTTAAATATTAGATAAACCAATAATTAGAAAATAATATTGTCTTAGTTTACATCATATAAATAAACAATACAATTTACTTCAAATAAGATATATTAAGGGTGTTAATATTTTCTCTTTATAGATTCTTCCACACATCTTTCTTTAACTGCTTGCCTTTGTTTCGTCTTGGGATCTTTCAAATCTCATCAACAGTCCCGCACATTACATTCATACATGTACGTTCCAAGCCTAACTAAATTATACTCAAACTCAAACCAAAAAAATAAAATGAAAAGAATGATGATTATAAATTATCGTATGCCTTTTTCATTTTTTTTAACTTCCATAACTGTGTGTTCGGAAAACGATGCATGATATTTTTATAAGTAATATTTTTTTAATTTAAAATATATTAAAATAATATATTTAAAAAAAAATTAACATTAGTATATCAAAATTACTAAAATATATTTAAAACATTAATTTAGTATTTTTCAAGTGAAAAATAATTAAACTAGTTAAACCACGATATGGAACAAAGCCTAAATATGCATGTATAATTGTGTATTTACCATTTAAAATCATTAATAAGTTATATTTTTTATATTCTTGATATTAAATAAAAAAATCAAAAAATTTTATTTTATTTATTTTTAATATATGAGTTTATAAACTTATACGTAAAATATATTCTTGATATTAAATAAAAAGATAGTTTATTTTATTTTTATGTTGACATTACAATGACTAGGTTTTAACTTAATGCAATAAGAATCTCTTTATTAAAAATGACTTTTTTTAAGTATTAGATAAACCAATGATTAGAAAATAATATTATCTTAGTTTATATTATAATTACTAAAATATTAGATAGCGACTCTCATTATCTCTTTATAAAGAATAAAAATTCCTTATCTTTTTCATTCTCATCATTTCTCAATAATCTCAATTTAAAAAAATGATTGTCATACACCAAACACCTCCTACACAAGTTTTGGAACTTCTTAATTTTAGGATATATAATCTTGGACAAATTAACTTATAATTATTAATGACTTTATCCAAGATGTGGGTTTCTTAATTTAACCGCCATTGACCTATAGCTAGCTTTAACTAATTAAGATGAACATAAAAAATAAAAATAAAAAATGCTGCCCTTTATCAATTGTCCATGAGATCAGATCGATAATAAGCAAGTCCATGTAAAAAAAAAAAAAAAACTCTATAACACAAACACAAACACACAAGTTGCTATTCGATGTTTCTTGGGGGATGAAAACTGAAAAGATACACAATTATGTGGTCGTAAATGTGTTTATGGGATTCCTTGTTTTAGGCAGCTTGTGCTTTTGGAGTATCAAACTAACTTATCACATGATGTTGGCTTGTATTAACTGTTAGGCACATGATATCTGCTCCAAATTCAACTTTCTTCTCTCCTGATCCTGAAATTCCATGCATATTCTATTTGTTCGTGTTGTCTTGCAATTTCACGATCAATATATTATTATAAATCATAAGGTCAAGCATATATATATATATACCCCACAGCAGTATGGTTTCCGTAGAGCGCATATGATGACAATTCTATATGTATAGGTCCAAGTTCAGGCTGAGATTATGTACCAAAATAAAGAGACTGTAACTTATGGGTTAAGCCAAAGAAATTGAACGCTAAGGCTTTTATTCCTTTTATCTGATCATGGAGAGGGTGCTCCTTGACTTGCATAGTTATTCTCAAGTTTACCACATGCATGGGGCTTTCTTCTTCAACTGTCTTGTTGAAAATCATACTCATGCATGTGCCTATAATCTTTTATACACACAAATGTGCTATATATATATATATATTATGACTTTATCTGTGGTGATTAATGAAGAAACAGTTTAAAAAACACCATCCACCCCATTACTAAACACACTTACAAGAAAAAAGGAATCGTAAAATATGATTCCTGAATGTTCTCTTCAATTATTTCTTTTTTTATCTCATCAATATTGCACTTGCAAACTGATTTTACTTTTTAATTTAATTTATTTCATCGCAGCTAGCTAGCAGAATAGTCTGTTTATAAACGAGGAGCTACGGGTGAAGGGCTCATGAAGGCCAATATTATCCAAAACATAATTAAAGGAAATGGTCATGGGATCGAGCTAGGTAGCTAGCTTGCCAAACTAACTAGCTGTATATTTATACAAGTTTTGTTTTGTGGCTTAATCTACGATTTGAGTGAGAAGTTAACGTGTCTTCTTGTGGTTGTTAACTGTATATTTATGGTATTATTATTATTATTATTATTCTATAGACTAGAATATATACCTTGTGGATGGAGTTAGATGTTGAATTTGGGATGCCATGCATGTGCATATTAACCTCAAATTACTACGTGTATGAAAGTGATGGTCAAACACAGCACATGCAACCTCGCTCTAGAAACAATATTAATTGCCTGAAACAAGGCAGTTGCAACGAAGCTATAGAAGACACACAAGTTTTGGTTTCAAACACACCAAAAGCCCATTCCTTGTTGTCTGTCGATCAAGCTCAGCCAGGAATTTTGGTTTTTGAACAATACATGTGAGCACAACAACCTGTACTGTTCAAAAGTGGAAAAATATTATTATCCCTTCTGCACTCAAGGTCTCCTCGATCTCCATAGCGTTTCGAGCGAGCAATCATTGAGATTAATTACAATAATGGAAGTAAAGGCCTGTTGATTATTTTTACAATCCAAGATCCCCAGAGATGATAGAATTAAGGTACCGTACTTGTTATGTAATGGACAGTAAATTCTGACAACTCACGGTCAATCGGGGAAATAATCAATTCCCTTCTCCACGTGGA